TGGGGGATAACGGGCAACCCACCAAGGTGATCTTCTTGCCCATAACTGTCAGGCACAGCAGTAGGTGAGATGGCAAGAGTTTCAACTAAAGCAACACAATCTGAAGAATCTTGGCCAACATAACTGACACTGTAAATGAGCTGTCTCTCACAGATTGCTTGCACAACAGCTTGATCTACTGCATCTATATTTTCTGGATCAGAGAGGTGACCCTGAGTAAACTGTCTTATGCGCTCTATCTCTTTTTGAGATTTAAGGTCATCAGCCAGCTCCCCATGAGGCCTGCGGGACAATCCATCTGCATCGCCATTTTGCTTTCCTGGACGATAGAGAAGTTTGAATGAGAAAGTGGACAGTGCCGCCAGCCACCTATAGCTTGTCGCATCAAGTTTTGCTGAGGTCAGTATGTATGTCAGCGGATTGCTGTCAGTAACAACAGTGAAGTGGTTGCCGTAGAGATAATCACTGAACTTTTCTGTCACTGACCACTTGAGTGCTAAAAATTCCAACTTGTGTGCAGGATAGCGACTCTCACTCCTTGACAACCCTCTGCTTGCATAGCCTATGACACGACACTGACCCTCCTGTTCCTGATACAAAACAGCACCGAGTCCAGTGGTGCTTGCATCGGTGTGGAGTACATAGGGCTTCTGGGGATCAGCAAAACCTAACACAGGGGCAGAGGTAAGGCTCTTAATCACCAGGTCAAATGCCTGCTGGCAAGCGGGTGTCCAGCGACTCCCAAAGATCTCCTTTGGGTTGCGGTACTGCCCTGCTTTCTCATCTGACTTTAATTTCCTGTGAGAAGGTGGGTAACCAGAGGTTAGATTGTGGAGGGGCTTAACGATGTTAGAGTAGCCCTTAACAAACCTCCTGTAGTACCCAGCAAACCCAAGAAAAGATCTCAGCTCTCGCAGGTTTTTTGGGACCGGCCAAGTCTTAAGAGCAGCAATCTTCTCCGGATCAGTCTCGACTCCATTCCTGGAAACTACATGCCCAAGATAACGGACTGACGTCTGGAAGAATGCACACTTTTCAGGTGATAATTTCAACCCGAACTCTCTAAGGCGTGTTAGCACCTTCATCAGCCTTGCTTCATGCTCTTCTAGAGTCTTTGAGAACACAATCAAGTCGTCAATAAAGACTAGAACATCCTTTAAATGCATGTCCTCCATGCACTTTTCCATTAGTCTTTGGAATGTGCTAGGTGCATTAGTCACTCCCTGAGGCATTCGGTTAAATTCCCAGAACCCAAGCGGACACACGAATGCGGTCTTGGGTTTGTCTGCCTCCTCAACTTCGATTTGGTAATAACCAGACTTTAAATCAAGGACGGAGAACCACTGGGAACCACTGAGCGCTGAGAATGTGTCTTCCAGCTTTGGAAGAGAGTATGCATCTTTTATGGTCTGGAGATTCAGACGCCTGTAGTCTATGCACAACCGGACTTGGCCATTCTTTTTCCTGACCACTACTATTGGTGACGAAAACGGTGACTCTGACTCTCTGATGACTCCTGCATGAAGAAGCTCCCGAATGTGGTTGCGAACAGCTTCGATGTCTTGTGGGTGTATTGGTCTTGCACGCTGTTTAAAAGGAGTTTCATCGGAGAGTTTTATGTTGTGTGCCACCTTATCTGTTCTGCCAAAATCTAAGTCATGTTGTGCAAACACGTCGGGCATGTTGTGGAGCTGCTGAGTGATGCGTTCTCTCCATTCAGATGGAATTGGGGACTCACCGAAATTGAAGTTTAAGTCGTGCTTGTTGTTTGACTGTGCCTCTGGTGACTTTGAGAGGGATTCTGATTGTTTTACTACACTGTGCTCCCGTAACAAGATGCTCTGGTAAGCACTTATCTCTGCAATTGCACATTTAGCAGGAATGACTATATCATGGTCAGACTCATTACTGATGACCACTGGTAGCTTATAGGGCCGCTGCTGGGGAATGTCGACTAAGCTAGCTGTTACCAGCAAGCCACCCGGCAAGGAGGGTACTGATGGCTGCTCAATGACTACAAACTTCTCATTCTGCAAGCAATAAGCTTCAGCAACTCCCTCAACTACTACAGTTTCACCAGCTGGAATGATTTTAGAACTTCTGCCTTGCAATGTTACTACACTGGGTTGACTGTTGTTGGTCTGTTTTTGTCTAAGCTCAAGACATTTAAGAACTGCTCTATAGCCATGTGGGATTGGTTGATGGCGTGTCAATCCAGCTTCGAAGTACATGTCATACAGTACATCCAGCGTATTGGTGCCTATAAGAACAAGGGACTGTGAAGTGGCTCGAATGTCAGGAACAACCAAAGCGAGTGAATTTACATCCATTGACGCTCCAATAAACTCTTTTGGAAAAGTTACAGTCATTTCTATGTAACCCAAGTAGGGTACGGACTGTCCATTCGCTCCTTCCACCTCCAAGAGATCATGTAGGGGCTTAATCTCCTGCTCTGGAAAGTGCTGTTCATAAAATGACCGGGGAACTGTCGTTACTTGGGAACCCGTATCTAATAGGCAGCTGACTTCTTCACCTTTTATGTGGACTTTAGCGGTACTCTTGGTACCGACCAACCCCTTAGGGAGTTTGAAAGGGTGGTTCTTACTTGAATGTTTTAGATTAGCACACACTTCAGCCTTGTGTTTACGGTTTACGTCTGAGGGACGTTGTTGACTCTCTTCAGTCCCTGTTTGTCCCCCAACAGGAACTGCTAGTCGTTTAAAGGTAAGTTGAGACTGTTTTGTGCATCCCACATGTGCTGCTTCTCCTCTAACTGTTTTTTCTTTTCAGCTACTAAAGCAGGGTTTGCCCTGTCTGTGCAAACCGGGGCAATGTGCCCATCCTCCCCACAGTTAAAGCAGTACCAAGGCCTGGGTCTGTAAGTCTGTTTTTTCTTGGCCTGTTTTAGCATGTCTGTGTTAGCACGGTCTAGTTTTTGTACTTTGCCTGGACCTTTCCCTGCTGCTCCCCTGTTATCAGCCCCCGTTGTCTTTTTCTGTGCCATCAAATAGGTTAATTGGCTTTGTAAACTGGCTACTTGCCTCCCAAGATCTTCAATAACACTGAGACTGACCTCCGACTTCTCTCTTGACTCTGCACAGGCCCACGCACTTTGGAGCTGAAGCTGGCCACGTTGCCTGGTGGTGCCCATGTGTTTTTTCATGCGACTAGCTTTTGCTAACTGTCTGTCTTCTTCTGTTCTTAGTAAGAGCAAGAGGTCAGCAAATGAAGGGGGGTTACTTTTCTTCTGCTCAAGTTGCAGGCAAGAAAGTAATGAATTGTCCCAGCATCCCCTACAGAACTGTTTGAGTAGGTGTTTATCCACATCAGCTGGTGCAGCCCCACCCCTTCTCACAGCCAGATTCAATGCTAATTGCAATCGATGAAGATAAGTGGAGGGTTTCTCACCCGGGTCTTGAAGGGTGTTCATAAACTGGGCAAAAAGTTCTTCCCCATCCTCAACAGTACCAAAGGCTGAGTCCAATAGCTGCAGGTAAGCGATGGGGGGTGATCCAGGCCGTAGCCCTTTCACCACATCTGCTGCAGGCGAAAGTAGACATTCGAGAATTCTTCTTGAAATCTGAAGATGGGACATACTGGGATCATTTAAAAGCAGTTCGATGTGTGAGCGCCAAGTGTCGTAATCAGCTTCGTTACTGGGTCTGGGAATCTTTCCAGAAAAGGAACGAAGCCTCACTGGAGATTGCAAGTGTGGGCTAACACCTTCACTCCTTACAATATGCTCAACCACCACCTTCTGTATCTCTGCTGGGTTTATGTCACTCACTGAAAGGGACGGAGCTTTCCCTCCATTAGTGAACAGGACTGAATCAGTGGCATTTAAGCAATTTTCTTCCCGGGGGGCATTCAAGAGTGAGCCTAGGGGCTGTTGATCTTCAGAAGTAGGGGGTTGAAGTGTCACAACTGGGGCCTCAACATGTGAAGGGGAAACTTCTATACCTACGGGTTTCATAGCTTCAATATCTTCACCAATCTGAGACATCATCTCTTTCAACACCTCCCCATAGTCTTTGCCACTTAGCTTGGCTAAGCCCTTTAACTCAGCTAGATAAGTTTTTGTAGCATTACTGCCAATCTGCGTAGTGTACACACTGCTTAATGCTTTTACAACATATTTAGCACATGGATCACCCTGCACTGTATATGTGTATGGCAAAAGTGGCTCTAAGTTCTCAAAAGCTGAACTGCTCGAAAACTCAATGATCAGGTTTTGGTAAAATTCAGATTTAGAATCATCAACTAAAAGGGCTCTTTCGATGGAACCAAACTTCTTAAGGAAGTCAACAACTTGCTCATCCTGATCTGCTACCTGGGTTACCCCACTAACAATCACTGCATTCGGAATTTTAACACCTGACTTCTGTATGAAATCCATTGTGCATATCCTTTCAATATTGATATTCAATGTCTCTGGCTCCTGGCTGGCTCGCCAATAATGTAACCCTTATTACGAGGTAGTAATAATAATGTACATAGGTTTAATAGTCTGAAGTAGTCGTAGAGAATATCATGAATACGATTTGGACCAAAATCAGAAGACACTAAATTGTTAAGAGCCTGAGAATTGAATATCAATAAAAAAAAATATACCACACCAGAATGACAGTTTAGACAACCTGTATTAAATTCACAGGGTGGAGCATACATACAAGGGAAACAAACATATATATGAAAAATAACAAACTAAAATAATAAAGTGCGCACGTAAACAAACAAAACACTCTCTTTTCAGTATCTTTGAGCTCAGTTCGTCCTCGGTTCGACTTGCCCTGGTTGACAAAAGTTCAGTTTCACCGTTGGGTTTTTTTTCCAGGTTGAGTTAGTGTTTGTCCTACCACAATGAAGATGAAGAGGATGAAATCAGTTCGTCTAAAGCACTCTGATTCGTTGTCAAACACGGTTGGCTCGCCACCCAGCCACTCAGACTGGGAATCAATGCATCTTTGGAAGAACGTCTGGATCTGGATCACTCCATGCAAAGGATCTCTGCCCGATGTTCCCAACTCTTTACCAAAACCTGACCTATAAATAAGGCCAAATCATTTCTTTCAATTACCATTCAGCGAATAAATGGACTGTTACAGGCTTCTACAAAATAAAATGAGATAATATTTCAGTACACCTATAATGCAATATAAAAATCTTTCTCTCGTTGTACAACAGCTCTTATGTTTCTTCTCAAGTATCAAAACTAAATGAATTTTTCTCTAGTATCAAAAGTAAATTTACATAATTTGCATCCTTCATAAAGACATTTCACATTCAAGTTTTATGAAACCTTATGGTAGTCACATTAACAGTATGAAGAATAAAACTGCATGAATTGCATGTAAACATTAATCAAATTGTATCACTTTAAATTAGAGGCATTAAGGCGTTAGTGTGCTTATTTATCCCCCTCTGCACCGGTAACAGTTGAAAGAATGCACAAAAATTTTTTACCTCTTTTAAGCTTCAGTGACCACAATTAAATCCACAATTTTTAACATCATTATTTAACAAACTAACTATTTAGCAACAATATAAAAAGTTAACATCCCTTTTTATAACCCACAAACGAAATAACTTGATAGTTTCAAAGACATTAACCAGTATTTCGCTAGCCTATTGTGGCTAATTACCTTATTAACATATGCACACAGCAGGCTTTACACCTTTAGCTCTACACAATGAACACCTTTGCATTGATTCACCCATTAACACAGATTAACATAGATGCTATGCTAGCGAACTCATAAACTCAGCAGACTAGGTTAAATACAAAAATGAGCAGCAAAAACCTGGCCTGTTAGCATGAATATTAGCGAACTCAGATGGCTAGATAAACAACTCACCATTTTAACGGAATTCACTGCCTTTAGCTCCGTGACAACAGTGGATTCAGGCACAGCTTTCGTTTACACTCTATATTACAATAAGGCATAGTCAGTATAATCAATAATGATTACAGAACTTGTTTAATTTACTTCCTATTGTTTTTTCAGCTTACCAAGCAGATAACGCAGCCTCCTATGCTCAAGTGCAAGCGCCAAAAGAACGTGCAGTGACGCAAAACTAGAGGCGTAACTGTAACAGAGCCTAGCTGGCAGCTGATTGGTCAACTCAGTGCCTCATAGAATTCACCCATTGGCTCACTTACACGTCCATCAAATATACAAAATTAAAGTTAACCCTTTCGTGACTGGGTTAAACAGCTACATAGGGTTTCTCATTATTTAACCTGGCTACACATGCACCCCTATAAAATCTCAAACATAGCTGCTGTATTCTGATTGTATTCATGAGGCCACTTTGTATCACATGTACCATTTCAAAAGTGAAGACTTTTTGCTTGCTCTTTATCATTAGGGTCAGTTCTTAAATCACATTATGAAGTTGTCTATTGAGTACTTCTTTAACACGGATCCTCTGTATTCTTATCCCTTTCAGAGGAAGTTAACGTGGTAAATGAGAGTATAGAGACTGTGTCTGTCAGCACGGCTATCTCCACCAACTTCATTGGGCAGAAGGAGAAACTGGCATCGGACGTGTGCGAGCGTTCCTGTGAGGAGCTCAGCAACATGGTGCATGAACTGAAAGGTCTTCGTATCATTGTGGGCAATCTCATCGATGGCTTGCAGAAAGTGGTAAAGTTGTTTTACTTAATGTCTGGTTTTACAGACAGGGTTTAGATTAAGCCAGGATTAGGATCTGACATATTTTAAGATGTAAGTGCAAGTTGCTTTCAGTTAAAAGAGCTCAAACATGCATTTTAGTCTGGGACTAAACTTAAGCCTTGTCTGGGGAATGTGTTTTGTTTGAAAGATTACCTGAAAAAGAATACAAATAAAAACTGTTTTCCCATGCAATTGCAATGTATAGGGACTGAGGAGTTCAAGCCTCGAGAAGGTCACAACAGCACCATAAAAGTCTCATAAAAGCAGTCCATACGACTTGTACACTATACACCAGGTCTTCTGAAGTCTTACAATAGCTTTATGTGAGAAAAAAACCTTGAAAGCCTCAGTTCTCATACGTTGTAATTGCATGGAAAAGAGTGGTCATCAAATTTCTCCTTTTGTGTTCCACGGGGGGAAAAAAGTCATACAGGTTTGGAACGAAAAGAGGGTGAATAAATGATGTCTGTTTGGTTGATCTGAAATGTAAACTTTATTTCATAAAGCTCCATTGTTCAGGTTGGTGGCCATCTCTGATTTTGAGAATTTTATTACAGATTAAATATCTGACCATGCAAGCAAAAATTCTTGTAGTCTAAACAGAACCATTAAAGGAAAACAGGACTGAAGAGGCAGTGGAAAACGTGAAGATGTGGGCTGGGGTTTTATGGTTTGTTTTAGAGGGAGATAGGAAGTGTGAATAGGAACCGAGTCGTGTCTGGCAGTGTTTAAACAGCCCCTTTATCCTCCTCTGGGAGCTTCCCAGCGATGAGGGAGTCTGGGCATAATCTCTGGGAAATCCTGCCGTTGGATGCTGCGGGTCCCAGAGGCTCTTCCAGACCATGTGGTGTTCTGTTTCACACCCTAACACTCATGGCTACTACCTATGCTTTTTTTTTTTTCTGTCACTCACACATGCACAAATTAATTCATCAGCACACCCCGTGGTTCGGGTTTTTTCTTTTGTGTGTGTGTGTTATTTTATGTTCTTAATGTGCTTCAGAAGTTAATAACCTTTCCTTCCTTTAAAATATTTCTTGTTCTTTTCCCCCCTCCCTCAACCTCTTGTTCTGTCTCTTTCCTCTTTCTCAACTCTTTACTCGTGGCCACAAATTCATGATTTGCTAATACTGTAGCTCTCAGGACTACAACATTCTGGTTTGGGTGTTCTTTTTTCATTTCATTCTTTTCTTAAAAAAGAGAGAAAAAGAAAAACAGAAAATTGAAACAACTAGCAAAGAAATAACACGAAAGTCTGAAAAGAGAATTTTTTACATTACAGAACCTAGATTGATGTTACAAATGTCAACATTAAAAGCACAAATCATAATTGTAAGACAAGTAAATTACATGTAAGTCCAAAGTCACTTGAGGACAATTTTCCTTCAGCATGGCGTTTAACCAGAAATGTCAGTTGGGGCCCTGTAGGGATTTAAAGGGCTTTCGGTGCCTGCTGGACAGTAAAGACTTTTATAATGTTACATGATTTTTATTTCAAATAAATGCTGTTCTTTTGAACTTTCTATTCATCAAAAAAATATCATGTTTCCACAAAAAAGCAGCACAACTGTTTTAACATTAATAATAATAAGAGCTGTTTCTTGAGCACCAAATCAGCATAGAAGAATGATTTCTGAAGGATCATGTGACACTGAAGACTGGAGTAATGATGCTAAAAAATTCATATCACAGGAATAAATTATATTTTAAAATATATTTAAAAAGGGAACAGGTATTTTCATGTTATAATATTTCACAATATTACTGTCTAACCACCGCCAAACCCTTGAACGGTAGTGTACTTGGAAATCTTTTAAGTTCGTCATCATTACCCACAGGTTAACATTAGAGATTTGACAGCAGGAAAAGCAAAGTTATTTCCCAAGTCAAGAGGTCACGATGAGAAAACCATCCGAGATTGGCTGAGGCAGAGCTTCCTGTTCTTAGAGGCATAATTCCCCTGCTACACAGAAGTGTGCTCATTTCATTGTAGTTTAAATCAAGTCTATTTATCTACATGTGGAAGACATTGGCAGAAGTATTGCCACCTCTTGACCGTTTATCCATCTGTCTTGCTGTGCATCTGTCGGTTAGACTGAGGAGAACACTGTGATGAAGGAGGTGCTGGGGAATATGAAGAACATCAAAGACAAGCGCATGTGCTGGCAAGACGGCCGTCTCTTTGAGGATAAGGAGGACTGGGTTGTGGACAGCTGCACCAAGTGTACCTGTCAGGTAAGAAGAACTTTGACATCTGATGAATGGGAGAGAAAAAGCGAATGGCATTCTGCTTTTGTTCTGAGTACTCTGTCTTACGGCTTTATCTTGCAGGAATCAAAGATTGTGTGCCATCAAATCACATGTCCTCCAGTAGCCTGTGCCAGCCCCACTTTCCTAGATGGCGAATGCTGTCCTGTGTGTCTGCGTGAGTAACGTACATTGCTGATATTCACAATTTTCATGCTTTCATTTTCCCAACATGTCTACACTGGATGCAAGGGGTCTCGCATTCAATTCAGAGACATAATTGAAATCAAATGATGTTATTCACTAAAATCTATAGGTGTTTTTATTTAAATGCCTGAATATTACATTTAAAGCCAGCTTGTGATGTTTCTCATGGTAACCTGAAATAGTTTGGGTGTTTTAAAATAACTCATGCTAGTTTTATATCAATGGATTGTCCTTAAAAATAAAGTAGGATACAAAGTTTTTCATGTCATCATCAGGCACTTTGAGTGTAGACACAGTTACAGCGCACATACACGACTGTTCAAAAGTGGGGAAAGTAAGATTTTTTTAAAAAAGAAAATTATACTTTTATTCAGCAAGGATGCATTAAATTGATCCAAAGTGACATTAAAGACATTTATAATGTTACAAAAGATTTCTATTTTAAATAAATGCTGCAGCGCAATCATTTTTAACTAATAATAAATTAATATTAAATGTTTCTTGTGCATCTCCTTTTTAAACTCCAATTACTGTTGTAAATTTACTATTGTGCTTTTTTTAATGTAAATAGACAATGTTTTTATTCAGATACATTTTTAAAATTATTAAAAATCTATCACCTGAATGTATTTTGGAATTTTCGTCTTATCTTATATAACTTTTTGGTAAGTGAATCATTTTTGTTGTTCACTTTGTTCTCGCAATGAAGCTAGCCTTGTTGCTGGGTGTTCAAAAATAATAAATGATAATAATAAATGAGCAGCTAATCAGCATATTAGAATCATTTCATGTGACCCTGAAGACTTGAGCAATGGCCGAAAATTCAGCTTTGCCATCACAAGCATTAAATTACATTTTTTTAATATATATAAAAATAGAAAAGTTATTTTAAAATATATTTTTATAATATTTCTCAATATTACTGTATCTTAAATGCAGCCGCGGTGAGCATAAGGGACTTCTTTCAAAAAAAAATTTTGGGAGAATTTTACCAACCCCAGACTTTTGAACAGAAGTTTATAAACAGGCAGGCTTTTTCTTTTCTTAAATGATATAGAACTTTTATTGTTTTAAAAGTGCTTGTGTTTGCCAACCACACATTTTTTATTATCCATGAGTAACAAGCATTACTGTATGTTCCCATGCTCTGAAGTGGGTTGAGAAAGATGATGTCATGTGTAACTTAAGCTCCAAAACGTCAGAGCTGAAGAACAATGTTGCCTTTGCTGTGTAAATATATTAACAACAAGGAGCACCATGATGGGTGTGGTGGGGTTAGAACGGGGTGAATTGTGCTTGAAGTTACCAGTGCTAAATGTGCTTGTGTGTTCATGTGTGTATAGCTAAAGACAGCGAGGACGGCTGGTCACCTTGGTCAGAATGGACGGAGTGTACCGTCACATGTGGAACAGGCACCCAGCAAAGAGGCAGGTCATGTGATGCAACCAGTAACCCCTGCAGCGGCCCCTCCATCCAAACCCGCAGATGCAGCCTGGGAAAATGCGACAGTCGTGGTGAGACAGACAGTCTTTTTTTGACCGTTAATAACTGCACTCTTTCTTTGAACACCTGTTCTTTGGTCATAGAGAGACATTTTGGACACCATTTTCTTGCCTGTTTTGTCCAAAAAGTCTAAAATCTTGGATGAAAACCACATAACAGCGGTTTAAGTGGGATTGGATTGATTCCTCTTGCTTGTGGCCTTAAGAAATGTGGTCCGTCACCTTATAACTGCAAGTGCACAGTTTGTTCTCTCACTGATTTGTTTCAGGTGTATCAGTGCATCAGAGTCTATCGTGATAATAAAATAATGCACTCATCTGTAAAGTCTCCGCAGACCACGTTTGTGTTTGAAACCGAGTAGAAAGAGAGGTCTCAAATGCAGCTGTCATAATATCTAAACAGCTGTTAAAAATAATGAAAATGGAAGAAAAAGAATCGCTGGTTCTCAGGTTACTTTTAGCCAGAATCTCGAAATCTTTATGGGGAAAAAATACTTATTTTGGCTGTTGTTTTTGTTGTTT